AAGGTCCAATGCACCTTCTAAAGTACCAAGAACTCAAGTGTATAACACAAGGTAATATCAGACTCATAACATGGATTTTCTTTAACGTGTGTTTTAAAGAACACTGCAAGGAAACTGTATGCTTCGTCCACTTGCTATGACTAGGAATATTTAACACCTCTGCTAATGTCTCAATCTAGTTACTAGTTATTTCTACATTTTAAAAATAAGTAGACATTAGAAAGAGAGGCTGTTGAAGTACAAGGGTTTCTTTTAAAATGTTCAGAACTTACCAGACTTGTTCTTCCTCCTAGCACCATAAAAGTTGGTGGTAAATCCAGACTAATCTCAGCCGAGGAAAACTTCTGACACTTAATTGTGAACAAGGGAAGGCTAATAATAGTGGAGGTTTATCAAACAATCATACAGCATCCTCCAGAGGAGAAAGAAGGTGAAATAGAGGAAAATGGGAAGGTTGTCAAAGAAGGATAAAGATTTGGCTGTTGAAAACCTTTATATACTTAATGAAGTAAGCTGTTGTTTACTGAACAGTTTTGTCCTCTGGCTGAACTCCACAGACTTTAGGAGGATAATTAAAGTGGGCATTTCCTGATAATGAACCTTGTAGAGAAGTCCATGACTAGCTCGAGTTCTGTATTTAAATGTGGATTCAGTCATTTCAGGAGGACCTTACTGGTACTTTACCTTTCTCTCTAAAGGATGTATCAACAGCAGAAGTCATGTTCAGCAGAAGCTGGTTGACCTTGTGCTTTTCACCAAGTCTGTCAGTTCAGTGGATTTTTTTATATAGTGTCAAGGAGTTGTACATTCCTATTCACTTATATGAAGCGGAGTTTGTACTTTGATGTACCACTTCATATTTTTCTGTCAAAAGAAACCCCAACAAAACAAAAAAACCCCCACAAACCCCCTGGATTTATGCAGTTATTTCATTGATAAGTTATTGATAGATTTTTAAGAAAGGACATTACTAGGCATGCAATTTTCCTGGCTTTCACCACAAAGGTAAGATTGCAGTTATCAATCCTAGCTTTGTATTGTCAAGCCTCTGTTCCCTACTTAATGATTCTACCACAGATAGTTCTGTGGTAATTCTGAACTCTGCTCAGTAACACTTAAAATATTTTGATTCAAAGAAACTTGGAAGTATTCTTTTCTCTTACATGTCACTCTACATTATTTATCACATATTTCAATAATATACGTGTGTATTTTATCATCATTTTACAAGAGACCAGTCCTTGAAATGGACATGAATACGTTCTGCATGAACCATCCCAAGGAATGGTTCGGGTAGGAGTTCAAGAGTTCCATGAACAATTGGATGTGTCCAAGTTGAGGCTACATATTTCAAAGCAGCACCTGTTATCTTTAGGCTAATGAAGTCAAAATAGTATTGCTCTATGATGAATGTTATCTGGTAGACTAGGAACAGGCCTGTCAGCACAGTCTTGTTCTGCTTATTTCTGCCCTGCCTCAATGGACATAATTTTTGGGATCTTTAGAGAGCTATTCCTGCTTTTATTGATTTTTTTTTTTCATGGCTCCTGTGTCTGTGCAGGATAGGTGCCAGTATTTGTCTCCAAAATTTGGAATTGTTACTCCTGATAGTATAGTTGAATAAGCTAACATAGCTTGACTACTTATTCTGATACTCTGAAATCATAGATGATGTTCAAGTGGTTAAGTTATGTTTAACTATGTTACAGTGGATGATGCTAAGCTTTACTGTTGGGGAGGGAAACTGTACTTGCAAATTAAATTTAATGCAGGCTTTTAGTAGACGTTAAGATGCACAAGGCTTTTCAAAGGTTGAGGCTGTAGTTACACTTTTTCTTCTAGCAGCAGTCGATAAAGTCTGAAGCTGCACATTCTGGTATTTTGTTTCTACTTTATTGCCAGAAAATACCATCTCCTTGGTTGAGCCTCTTCAGAGCCTTCCATGGCTGTTCACTAATCTGCATCTGTGAAAGTTAGATCCTTGGCCCTTTAAGATAAGTATATTCTTAGTATTGGGTGGAAGTAATCTGTGGATAAGACTGTGGGAGTCATGGTGATGAGGGTGGGAGTAGATTAAAAGGGAGAGTACAACTAGTAACTCCTTCAACTGTTGCTGACAAAATAACATATGACTATGCCTGAAAGGCAGTATAACAATACAATCTTGTTACTACAGTTTGTGTCTTGCTCTTTGATATTCAGTGTTACTTGAAAACAAGTGCAATGGCTATTCTAAATCCATCTTAAATCTTTTCTATGTTGTTTCATAACAATTGAAGATACATTGCATTGGTATTTAACATCTGTGTAAGTATGTTTTGGTTTTTAACATTTTTAGTACTTAGTCACATAAGACTGCAGATTTTTAAGTGATGAGATCCTAGGGGATTGTGTCTGAAAATAAAGCAAGTTACTGCCTTTGTGTATTAATATAATTCCTGGTATTTGAATTGGGATAAACTGGTCTGCCAAACCATTGCAGGAAGTTACTACGCGTATGTTGTGTTTAGCTGCTACTTTTTTTTTCTTGCTCACTTTTTTTTCCAGACACACAATTGTCTGAGATCTTATCATTTGAAAGACTAGTCTAATGTGACTAAGCACCAAAATTGTTGCGCATACAGATTTTTCCAAAGACTGAGTTTGGGAACAGAAAGTTCTCATAACATTAATTTAGTTAAAGTTTATATATTGCCTAGCCACGTGCTTCTTTGGAAGGTGTCAGCAAGTGCTGTAAATTAGTTAACTGCTAATGTGTGCTAGAGATCCAAAATTGCAAACCTAAAGAAAAGCCAGAATTAGTTACCTTTGCAGTGAAAATTCACAAAAAGAAACATTCTCAGATTTCTGTATAAATAGTACTGATGGAACACTAGAACCATTTTGATCTTGATCATGAATTTGCAGGTTTTAGTGAAAATGTGAATATTTTGGCTTAATATACTTGTCTCTCATACTTCCTGCTCAGTCTGAAAAAGAAATTTCCTTTGCATCCTTTAACAGTATCTTACATCCGTGACTATTTTGTTTTATTTTTCCCCACATACACACTTTGGCTGCTGTTTGGAAGGAGACAAGTCCTGGGAATCTGTAGTCTTTAGTATGTCCAAGTTGTCAGCTTCTCAGTAGAAATGAATACAGAGCTATATCTCTCAAAAGCATAAAGTCAACAATTGACCTATTCACCCTACAAGGTGTTTTTACAAACGTTAACTTCAGAGGATGCTAAGAAGAGACAGGTTGTCAACTTGCTGCCAGCTTAGAGTGCTTCTTTTTAATGATGAGCAAACAAGACTACTTCTTCAATGTGATGAGGAAAAGTTAATCAACTATTCATAAATGTTGCTTGCTGAGAATTATAACTCTGTGCCTAAACTTTAGGGTACCTATGTGAGTATTTTGGCTTGTTTCTCCAAATATGAAAGAGTAAGGTGTACTGGTTACAAGGACAGCTGATCTTAAATAGTTATGATCCACAGAAAAAAGAGGGGTTTTATAAAACTTAGCAAATTTTACAAGGTGTATTCTCAGAGAAGACTTTTTTGCTATTTCTCAAATAGAATCATACTATCTTAGTATTGCTTTTAGCAAGCTGACTACTAACTAAAGATATTCAAAACTTAGAATTGAATTCAGTGACATGTCTGATGGTTTTAGAGAGGGAAAGGGAGTGTGTATTTGTATTCAATAATGGTCAATACTTTAGGCTAATGAAGGTTTAATATTTCCTGAATAACTGTGTGTACTAAAACAATGCTTCTAGCAGTATACGGCTATCTGAAAGATGTTTCAGAGGCTTTGGCTGTTTTCACCTACCCCAAATCACAAGACTTTCCCAGCAGACCCATAAGTAATTTCCCAATTTGTTTTTACAAACCTTGTCTATAAAGACAGATAGCTTCTTCCAGCTGGTGACTAAAATTATAATGGATGATTTTGTGATATTACTGTAGCAGTATCAAAATCAGCTAGTTTGTCAAGTAGCAACTATCTGAGAAACTGAACCAAGGTGGTTCAGAGTTGTTTGTTTCTCAAGCATTATAAAACTCTTTGGAGCTATATGCTGAGAGTAATGC